CGGGGCCCCCAGCCACTCGCCCTCTGCGCTGCAGTGCATCCGGGGGGGGCTATCCATGTCCACCTCAGCATGAGCCACACAAGTGCCCTTGACTTCCACCAACGTGGCAAAGGCTGTCTCCGCCACCGTGTCCGGGAAGGCGGCCAAGTTCCGCACGGTGGCGAGGCACTTCTTGTAATAGACCCGCACGGAGACCAGCGCCACGCAGGCACCCACGTCCTGGAAGCCCAGGTGGAAGCCCCTCTTGCTCAGGTGCCCGATCTCCCTCAGCTCAGTGTTCAGCTTCATCTTGCGCTCGCCCAGGTCCCCCTGTGTGAAGCTCTCGTCGGCGGCAATGGTGTCAATCTTGGTGTGCTTACTCTCACGGACGCTCTGGCCCAGGTTGGAGTCAGACTCGACGTAGTACAGGTTGAAAGTCTCCTTGCAGGTGCTGGTCACGCCAGGGATGCTATTGCAGTCCCGCAGGGTGAACTTGAGCTCGATGAAGATTCTCTGGCCGTCGCGCCGCGCGATCCAGCCCGTCTGCAGCCAGTTGTTCTGGTTTGGCTCCATGACATTGCAGACCTGGTACGTCCGTATCGGCTTGTAGTTCTCATCCACACCGCTGATCTCTTCCCACTGAGGAGAGAACACAAAGGGCCGTAACAACTCAGGAGCTGCTGCAGCAGAGACACCAACCAGTATAAATGTCACCACCTCAAACCTCCCACCACAGGCCATAGGCACTGGAAGTCCTCAGCCTACCAAACCCACAGCTGCTGTAACCACCTAACACCTGAGCTCTCTGCAGAGATGTGAACAGACTCAACCAGAAAAGCAGCACTGGCAGCAGACCTTGGAAAACAAAGCCAGATACTGGACACATCACCCACGGAGGAACCAGGGCCTTCATCCACACACTCCTTGGAGTTTTCTGTCCCTGGGAAGGTGCGACCACAGAGCGTTACCACACAGTGCAACACCGGATGGGGTTGGGCCACCCAGAGAAGTCCGAGATGTTCAAGGAGATGTGATGCCAGTCACACCATCACAGACATCTTTGGGAACAGCAGCAGCAGCTTCTCTGCCAGGAGAAGTTTTAGTTGGAACAGGACAAATCCTCCGACTGCCGGGGAAACAGTGTTTCCCCAAAGCTACCAGCAGAGATTCTGATCGCTGGGCCACACGTATGACTCCAGGAGCTATCGTTATTCCCTCTGAACGCCTTGTTTCCACTCCAGAAAATGAACACAAAGCAGCAAGGAGCACACTGACATGTTTCCTGAGCTTCCTGACATGCTCTCCCAAAACCAGCTGTAGACTGACCCCAGCAGCAGAGCCAGGGCCGGATCAAACAAACCCTCCATGACACAGAGCTCCTGATGACTGCCCTGGCCACAGCCCTCCGATTCCAAGGGCTGGACTGATCCCTAGAGCTCGTGCTGATGTGCAGACCCCAACACTGGATGGTGTTTCTTTGCTTATTCCAGGAGCCAACGATCCGTTTCGAGGAGGAACTCCAAGCCAGTTGCACTGTTCACAGAATGACGCCTCTTCCTAGCGCTGCTCCCCGGGGCACTCGGCACTGGCCACGCCAAGTGCCCATCGCCCACGCCACGAGGACACCCCAGGGCTGACAGCACCACCCCAGCTCATACCGCAGGGCTTGAAGTGCTGCCGAGCACCAGGAGCCTCACAGACCCTCCAACCCTCTCCAGCGGCACAGAGCGACAGTCCCACCTCCAGCTTACCCCGTTCGACGGGTGTGAGGTCCAACCCAGCTCCGCCTGCGATTCCTTGGAGTCCAGCAGGACAACTGCAGGGAAGACAACATGTTAGCAAACCCACTGGTGTAGGAAACGAGGGTTAAACCCACCCTGTCCGTCCGTCGGGAAGCTCAGGGCCGTGCTGTGCCGGGTCCCAGGGAGCAGCTCCCGCCCCAGCTCCACGGCTCCAGAGCTCTCCCACTGCCACCTCGCCCGAGCAGGGCCCCAGGGACGATCCCCCGGCCCCACGGCCAACGGCTGTGCCGTGCCTGGAGCCCAAAGGCACCCGCGGCTGCT